AGGGACCTCTGGAGATCATCTAGTCCAACCCCCTGCCAAAGCAGGTCCGCCTAGAGCAGGTTGCACAGGAACTTGTCCAGGTGGGTTTTGAATGTCTCCAGAGAAGGAGACTCCACCACCTCCCTGGGCAGCCTGTTATGGACTCGGCATCGGTTTGGGAATGGATCTCACACTGGGTAACATCTGCCATTGATTTCCACAGAACTGGTGTTTCCAGCCAAGCAGAAAGGCTACAGACTTTCCAGCGGTGTTAGTGTTACAGCTGGTTGGAAAGCCTCCAAGGGAATATATCCCGTCAGAACGGGGTGATTTATCAAACGGTTTGCTTTTTTTTTTTTTTTTCATGGCAATTTGCCTCTTTTAGTGGAAAAGATTTTTTGGGTCCAGGCTGAAAAAAAGGACCAGAATCATCCAAGAGCAGCCCGTGGTCTGGTTTAGAGGTTTAGACGTGGGTATTCAGCACTCGCTTCCAGCCAAGCCTGGCACACGAATGTGTCTCTCTCCATCGCCAAGGAGTGCCCTTCCAGCCTTAGCCCACCTTAACTGATGTCTCATCTTCTCCCATTTGTAAGGGTGAAAAAAAACCCAAATTGTTTCCTTTCCAAAAATACTGAAATTGGGACCATTTTCCTGGGATGTAGAAGCTGTTTTCCACTGAGCCAGCAGCAAAGTCGCCTGCAGAGTTGAAGCAGGGGCTTCAAATCCCTCTGTGGTATCATCTTTATTAATAACTTGACATCTCAAACTAACTTTATGTGGTGGAGAGCAGACATTTGGAGCAGATGTCACTGCACGTTTACTGCTGTGATATCGTGGCTTTTGCCAAGCCTCCTAGTGTCTGCTGGTGGAAGATGGGTATGGACCAAAGCCAGGAGCTGCAGCAGGCGGGCAGGACGATGCTAGTGGGCAGGGGAGGAACCATGGGAGCTCCTCAGTGGTGGGAGAAGAGCAGCAGAAGGATGGGATGTTTCAAACCAAGTGGCTGGTAGCTAAATAGGGAACAGTAATGGCTGAGAAGTGGTCTCCACTTGGTCCTGACACCAGCAAGCTGCTGAGATGACTCCAGAGCAGCTCCAGAGGGGTGATACAATAGACCCAGGGAGACATCACTGTCTGGATTTATGCCACTCAAGCGTGGGCATTTAAAATCTGTTCCCTGCAGGCACTGGACTCCATTCAGTGTATCTCACCAGCCTTTCATCTGGGCACCTCAGCTGGATGCCTAAAGCTGGGGCCAATGAATCTTAGTTGGGGTTGGTGGCTGATGGGGCTTGTCCCACCCGTGGAGGCCTTTGAGGTGTCCATTGACATGGGCCACCCAGATGATAGTACAGGTGGGATGGTCTTTCCCACAGCCCCTTGGAAGGCTCTTGAGTCACTAAGTCCTTCCATGCAGGTAGGAATGGTACCAGGGGCTGATGCCTCCTGAGTGCTGCTGGAAACGACCCCCAGCGCCCGCAGCCACATTGGGGTGGTGGGGGGGATTTGTGCGTGGTCCTGCTGCAATAGATGGGATTATCCACCACGTGCACCTCAAACCCTTACGAGTTGGCCTGACCTGCGTGGAGTGATGCCATCCCCTAAAGAACTCGGCTCACATTTTTTTGAGTTCATGTAAAACATGCACATTTGGGAGGTGGCTGAGGACCTTCACCCTCAGGCGTCCATGGGGTGTGACTGTACACCTTTGCGCTGTAGATGCCTGCACTTGAAAAAAACCATTGCTCCCCACAAAATTGAGATGAGTTATTTCATGTGGAGGAAAAAGGGTCTGCCTTGTCAAGGGTCTGTGAGACCACAGACCTACTGGCTGCAGAAGAGGTTTGAAGGGTAACAATTAGCGTCCTGGCATCAGAGAAGTGTCAGTGATCTCTGAGGCTCATCATCCCACCAAGTAGACAGCTCAGGAAAAAGGGTGGCTGCTGAGATACCAGGTGTCATCAAGGACTAGGGAAGAAGCACTCGGGCTCCAGCAATGGAGGACAGTTTTGTCCATCCCCAGACCCTGTAATGCCACAGATCATCCCCCCAGCCCCAATCAGAGGGAGGGCTGGTGGAGTGGGATGTATCTGGGAACCTGGCACCTCTCCTTTATTCCTCTCAGAAGCATATTCCAGGTCTCAGTCTTTTCCTATCACCTGCTCCCAGCTGTGAGCAGGTGCAGGTCCTCAGCACTGAGCCCGTTCCGCAGCGTGCCCTGCTGGGGACACAGCTCCAGGGCTCTGGATCTCTGCAGTGGGGGTTTGCACTCAGGTCTGCTAATTAGAAGCGGTAGGGATGCCTCCGGCCGAGCTGCTTCTGTTCCTGTTTTCTGAAAAAGAAAAGGGGCATTTTTCTTGTTTTGTCTTTTTCAGTGGGAAAACTGAAAAAAAAAAAAAAAAAGCACCCTACCTTAAATCTAATAATAAACGTTTTCAGCTGGTCTTTTCAGGGCAGGGGGTTGGAAGTCGATGATCTTTGAGGTCCCTTCCAACCCAAACCATTCTGTGATTCTAGGTGCGCTGGAGTTCAGCCTCCTGTGGGCTGAGCCCTGCAGTGTTCCCCTTGGCCGGAGGGAGGAGGCGGGTCAGACTCCCCCAGGAGGTGATGCAGGGCAGATGTCACCCTCTGGTGGAGTCTCTCTGCCTCTCCACCGGTTGCGGAGGAAGCCAAGAGAGAGGAGCTAGGTAATTTAGCAAGACAAATTAAAAGTCTGTACTCGGGAGGTGTCATCTCCCCAGCCCAGCTCATCTCCTCCTGGAGCTTTCAGGGCATCACAAGAGGCACCAGGCCATGAGGACAACCTGGGAGATGTGGGCTGAAGATAAACCCTCTTCCTTGGGATCAGAGACTGTAGCAGAAAAACGCTGGGGAACTCATTCACGGACAAGTCATAGAATCATAGAATGGTTTGGGTTGGAAGGGACCTTAAAGATATCGAGTTCCAACCCCCCTGCCATGGGCAGGGACACCTCTACTAGAGCAGGTTGGTCAAAGCCCCATCCAGCCTGGCCTTGAACACTTCCAGGGATGGGGCATCCACAACTTCCCTGGGCAACCTGTTCCAGTGCCTCACCACCCTCACAGGAAAGAGCTTTTTCCTAATATCTCATCTAAATCTCCCCTCTTACAATTTAAAACCGTTACCCCTTGTCCTGTCACTGCACTTCCTGGCAAAGAGTCCCTCTCCAGCTCTCCTGTAGCTCCCTTCAGGTACTGAAAAGCTGCTATGAGGTCTCCCTGGAGCCTTCTCTTCTCCAGGCTGAACAACTCCAGCTCTCTCAGCCTGTCCCCATAGGGGAGGTGCTCCATCCCTCTGATCATCTTCGTGGCCCTCCACTGGAACCCTTCCAGCAGATCCATGTCCTTCCTGTGTTAAGGACTCCAAAGCTGGACACAGTACTCCAGGTGGGGTCTCACGAGCGCAGAGTAGAGGGGCAGAATCACCTCCCATGACCTGCTGGCCACTGGACGTTGCAGGTCATGTCTGGTGAAACACTTCAGTTTGGGCTGAAATCACTTGTTTTGTTGCATTTTGTGTATCCACTTTTGGGCAAGACTTTATTCCCTGGCCCTGTTGGTGCTCTAAACACCCGCCCTGGGCAGGAGGAGGAGGAGGGCTTCCCTTCTCCAAAAACACTTTCCTGCAGATCAGAAACATTCAAGTTTTGCTCCAAGGACAACATGCAGATGCAGAGGATGCAGAGGGTTAGTTTTAATTCAGCAGGAAACACAAATCCAGGGATTATCTTCTTTGATACATCGAAAAGCTTACCCCCTAAAGTCACTGGTATTTACATGAGCTCATCGGAGTGATGAGTGATGTTATTTATAACATCTGTAATTCTCCCTTGGATTTAGAGCCTCTGCTGTGCTGTCCAGGTGCCTCGCCAGATTGCTCCATCGTGATCAAATTAAGAGTTATTGGGGAGAGTTTGTGTGTTTCTGAGCAGCCTGTAATTTGGGCTAATTCAGTGTGCAGCACACCTCAGCAGCAACTAATGCAAGTGCTTGGTAGAGAGGACCCATCAGTTGCCTTGTACCAGCCTGGGGCTGGTCAACACCTCTTCCCAGTGCCACGGCATGAGGAGCCTGAGGTGACACTGGGAAGAGGTTAAGGAGCCCCCAGTACAAGCTGAGATCCAACACTACGGATGTGGGCTTGCTCAAGGCATGAGCCACTGCTGCTGGCCACCCTGCTGCTGCTCATGGCTTCTTGGCTCCACCTGGGAGGCTGGGGATGGCCATGCTCCCAGCTGGTGCTGGCCTTGGGGCACACCGAGGTGTCTCCCCGTGCTCCGTGAGGCTGAGGAGGGACCTGGAGGGGCTCAGGCTCAGCCCCACCGAGTCTCCCCAAAGACATGCCACCCGTGCAGGGCTGCCACCCTTACCCTGGGCATAGCCCCTTCCCACATCCCAGGGGACATTCCCATGGGCCTCACCTATGGGGTGCAGGGAGACTGTCCCATGGCCACCCAGTGTGGGCACCTGAGCATCCCTGTGACACCATCCTTGGTCTGCCACCACCCCTGGGTCACTGGGTTTCTCCGGCCAGGGGCTGGTTTCAGGGCAGGCCGGTGTGGGACAGGAGGTGGTGGGCATGTGGCTAGTTGGCAACTGAGCCACAGCGGCCTGGGGAGATCAGTCAAGGTGAAGGTCTGGGGAATCACCAACACACAGTGGTTTTGGCTTTTCAGAACCTGCCGGAGAGGTGAGGACAGGGTGCAGGGCAAGCCCGGGGTCCCCGGGGTGTCCTCTGCTGAGCGCTCACACGCTGGGTGAAGCTGCAGGGACCAACATCAGGGGTGGGCTCGCTTGAGGAGGGCACCGTCCTGCCCCGCTGCTCGCCCCTTCTGTGGGACCTTCAGGAGGTAACGCTGAAACTCCACAGCAGCCCTTGGGTTTGAGGAATATTAAATAACACATAGATTAAAAACCAGGACAAAGGCACGGGGGGGAAGGCCATCTCCAGGACCGGATCTCATCGCAGAATGCAGGCAAATGACGGATCGACCAGGAGACAGGTTTTATCCATTTTATTTAACCAATGAAATTCCTACTGATAACAATGAAAGTAATTTCAGCAAGTATAAATGCGATACAGTTTTAAACAAACCCCATTGTTCCGTACCTATAAATAGATTTTTCAAAACCTCATAAAAAGTGCAGATTTATGAATTGCTGTTAAAATGTTAATACATGATTCCTTTGTTTAAAAATGCGTTTTTGTCTCTTAACTCACAAAAAAAAAAAAAAAAAAAAAAGAAGTTCCTTCTGCATCTGTTCAGATAAATTCAAGTTGGGTAACTTAAAAACTAACAAAAGTCACACACACAAAAAAAATCCATCCCACTAGGTCAGTCTGTCCTCTGCAAAAAAAAAAAAAAAAAGAAAACAACAAAAAAACCCCCAACCAGCAACAACAGAAAAAAAAATAACTGGTAGAAGCTGCTGTGGAAACCCACAGTGAGCTCCCAGCAGCTGCCTCAACCTTGCAGGGAAACCTCCTGCGAAAGCAGGGAGCTGTGGCATTGCTGGAGCCCAGGGCAGGGGAGGTGCCACCTCCCCGGGATGCTGCAGGGACGTGGGACACACAGAGCTTCCACTGAGCTGCCCCCATTCCCGGTGGGGAGGGAGCAGCAGGATCAGAGCTTTGTCCTTAATCCCCCGTCCCAAACCACCTGCGGCGGGAGGAGGGAAGAAGCTGAGAGGTGTGGGGCTGGGGCTGGGTACAACTCACCCCCCGTCCAGAGGGTGAGGGGTGGGAGATGCAGTGGAGCATCACCCTGGGCACTGCCCTGCCCTCCTGCCCCCCAGCCAGGGGGCTCAGACCCACAGCCACCCAGGTGGAGTCAGCGCTGCTCCTTGCCCCCCGACACGCCGGGCTCTGCAGACGGCAAATCAAGGGCTGATTTGTGCCCTCGGGAGAGGCTTGGAAGCTTTTTGGCTGCAGAGACACCGTGCCCGTGTTCTCGGTCCAGCAGCCGGACCGTCCAGCGCTCCCACACTGGCAACTCAGGTTGCCATGCACCCCATGCACCAGGATGGAGCCAGCAGCAGCCTGATGGGCACGGGGGGGCTCAAACACATGCCAGACCCCGGCCTCCCCAGAGTTTGGGTCCAAATGTGGCCAAACGTGGGGTGGGCGCCCAGCTCAGAGCGTGCCTTCTGCAGAGAGGAGCTCAGCTCACCCATGGGGGAGAGAGGGCCACCAGCCCCCCTCCTTCTACAGTGGTATTTCATCTACAGCAGGGTCTGGTTAGCAAGAGCAGTTTAAAGTGGCTATGTTTATCAAGTTTGCTACTTTATGAATTTAAAAAAAAAAAACAAAAAAACAAAAAACCAAAACAAAACCAACAATGAAACAAAACAAAAAAAAACCCCAAAAAACCAAACCCCAACAACTATAAATACAAAGACTCTCACACACCAGACACTTGCAGCCTGCGTGACTCATAAACCGCATCAATATTCTGTTAAAAAGCTTATTCTACTTAAAACTATACATAGTACAAGAGACCGAAAAGTGGCAGCCGTGTGCGGGCGACGCTGCCTGCCCCGGGGTGGCCCACAGTCAGGTGCTTCCTAAACAAAAATAATCCAGGAGTTACAGTAACACGGCACAGGACTGCAAAGCCCATCACAGCTTCTGCTTACACTGCATACGAAGTACCAAGGGGAACACAAAAAAGAACTGGTGTTAATACTGATGGATTAAAGAGTAACTATAAAGATCAAAACAGACGTTCACAGCATGCTACATATATTGCTCACAAACTTTCCTTTTTTTTTTTTTTTTTTTTAAGAAAAAAAAAAAAAGAAAGGCTAATACAAACCAAGGAGTTGGCAGTCTGATTTTCAGTTATGTCGGATAGAAAGGTAAAGCATATACATTCATCACGTGGCTTTCCAGCAACAGGAGAAAAGGGTAAAACCAAGAGATTTCAAGTTTACAAAATTCCTATTTTTTCAAGCTACAGTTTATATCCAGTTCCGGTCACAGTCGTGAGAAACATTTCTGACCGCATCTCCTCGCGCAGTCCCAGGGCTGTAGCCTGATTATTTATTTTTCCCCTAAAAGCGGCTGCATCTCCCACCACCATGAGGGTGCTGCTCCTGCAGCCACCCAGGGAGGTGGCAGCCAGGCCGGAGGGATGGGGTTGGGTCTGGTGGCACGACATGAGCGTGAAGTGGGGGCAATGAGAAACGGTTTTGGACCATGCATGGTTGGACCTGCTGCTGTTGCTGCCCCTCAGCCCCCTCAGCCGGAGACACAGCACTTGGTGATTCACCCATTTTGGCTGAAAACTCCCTTCCACGGGCTGGTGGGGGCAAGAACATTTAATTCAACAGCAGCACGTTCTTCTCAGGTGGAAGTGAAGGGTTCCCTTCCCCTGCTCCATCCATGGAGTACGGAAGGGTCCCAGCTCTTGTCCTACAGAAGCCCTCTGGACACCTCAGAAGAAGGCATCTCCCACCATCTCCCCTAGGCACAGACATACACAAGAACCTCTCGGACACACTGGTGTCTTAAACTGACCAACAAGTCAATTCCTGCGCTGGTTGTGTCCCCTCGAGAGCCCCTGGGTCTGTCTGTACCTTCTGATGCCTCTGTGGCTTGCTCCCCACAATTAGTATATTAATTGGCATCTTCAATCCCACCTCCGACTACTGTCGGGAACAAAAGCAGAACTGAGATATCTATTCTCCATGAGACCTGATGATACTCAGTACCCATAGGAACACCCAACCCTGCCTACATCTCCAGCAGCCACTCCACGGCATGTATTTGGATTTATCCTGCAGATAAGCGAAAAACCCAAATCCACTTGGATTTATCCCAAAGACAAATGAAAAGCCCAAATCCACTTGTTCCAGAAGCTGGCCACAGCCTGCCTGGCTGCAAGGCACCCGAGGAGCTGCCAACCCAACGGCCCTGTAAGCCCACCTGGCACAAGAGGACCTCAAATTCCCCCTTAGATGTCCCTCAAAGAAACCTGCACACCTGAACAGCTCAAGCACGGGGAGTTTTGCCAAAGAAAGCGTCTCCTTAGTGGATCCACTGGATTATTACTGTACCTCCAGAGATGGGATCTGACACGCTACCAGCAAATGCTACCAAAATGTTATAAACTGTCATCCTTTCGAACCAGATTTAGAATTGTCCTGTCCAGAAAAATAACCTACTACGGCAATTAAGTGTTTCTGAACATGAGAAAGACTCTATGAAGTCACTAGCAAAGGGTGATGTAGGAACCTCGCGCAGATTTACAAGGTTAAGGCTAGGAGGTTGTCCCTGCACGGCTGCTAGGGGCTGTGAGTTAGGAAGGTAGGAAGCACTCGATGCAAGGTGGTGGTGGCGGGTTAGAAAATGACAATTTTTGCCCCTGGTGAGCAGCAGAAGGATTAAATGTCTGCAAAAGAGACCTGATGTGTGTTGGGGGAGCAGCAGCACGACCGCATGCCAGGAAATGTGCTCTAAGGGAGAAATTAATACTGATCAAGATGCTCCTCAAGTTTTCTCATGCTACTGTGCTCTCTCCATCTCCCACACCTGTGATCTATGCAGTAGGTATGAAATGCTAAATTCGTCTTCATTTAAAGATAAAAATTTTCATTTATAATTCCCAAATGCGGAAAAGCTGGTGGATCATCTCTTCAAACAAATATAGTGCTGGGGGACATCAGAGAGAAGAAATCAGAAGTTAAGACAGTGAAAACTGACATTTTTGTCCAGGTCTTGGAGTGATTGTTAACGACAAACCAATTCTTACAGCTTTATATTCAGATCAGCTCTGGGAAAGTTCATCTACAGTGAGTCTACTCCTCTCTCCCTCCATTTTGTGCAATATTATGGGAGGATTCAAACCTCTAAGGAAAGTAACTGAAAGAACATCACTTGAAATGGAAAAGTTTTGGAGTATTTCTTTCGGGCCAAAACTTTTTAGTCCGGGCACAAGTTATCCCCTTGCTACCACCAATAAATCTTTCCTGCAAGTAGAGGTTAAATAATCCAGCTCTTCTGAAAGGGAGTCCAGCCTCTGGAACATGAGCCTGAAATGCATGCCTATGTCCATGGAAAACACACATGCATGAGAAACATCAAAAACCTGTTCTGCAAGAGCAGCAGCTTACAGTTTAACTGCTTTGGGGAAGATTTCTCTAAGCCTATATTAAGCCCCCAAAACAACCCATTTCATTAACAATTGCTGCAAATCACAGGGATCTGCTACACGTTATTCCTTTAATCTCTATGGAAACTGTTTTTGTTCTATTGAATTTAAGTGACTAGGTATCTTTAAAAATCTGACTCAAAAATGCAAGTGGGCACGTCGTAGGATTTTGCTAAGTGCCTGAGTGCTTAGATTCCCATGGAAATTTAGGCAACTAGCTGCTTTTTCCAAATCCCTTGAAAACATCTATCAGCATCACAAGTCATGGCGCCCCTGTGATGTTCTGCCGCTGGCAGAGTGTTCTGGGAAATGCAAATGCTTTTCTCCAATTGGCACCTTTTTCACTTCTCTTCATTACCAAAAAAAAAAAAAAAAGGAGCAATTTCAGCCAGAATATACTCTATCACAACACACGTTTTGAAGCGACTCTGCAATGACAGGAAGCTGTCCATGCTCCAAAGCTCTGTTCCCTACTCGCAGCGTTTCCTGCGCTGGGTGGTTAATTTGCACCTACCAAGCTTTCTCTCCAGTAGACAGGAGACTGTACACTTTGTTTTTATGTTGGTCACCACTGGGATTCTGTGGACTAACATTCATTAATGCTGGTAAATATCAATTCCACTAAAGGAACACAGAGGGAGAGTATCTACACTTCTGACGATTACGGTACTCTTAAGAATAAAATTAATGAACAAAGAGCGAAGATTCACATTCGTGAGTGCTTTAAAAATGCAAAAAATCCAAGAACACTTGCACATTAAAATTTGGCACAGTGTGAGCCTAAAGCGTGCGTAAAGTGTATGGTAGAGTTGTCTGACTTTAAACACCTATTCTGAACAAACACCTATTAAAAATCATAAATTTGAGTATAAAAACTAGGCTATAAATCGTTACACTGTAAATGCAATACTTTGAAAAAAAAATGCCACGTGGAAAACATTTCCAGAAGTTTCAAGTTTGCATTTAATATTAAAAAAAAGAAAAAAAGAAATAGCAAACTAGTTGTACAATGACATTTCCTACGGTGGAATGTCTTGCAGTCCATATGTGACTTGATATGGCACCTTAAAAAAAAAAAAAAAAGAAAAGAAATCACTGGTTTACTACGAATTTTATGAAGCAATCCATTTATGGTTTCTGTATTTCAAATCTGCTCATGTACTTTGCTCAGAAGGCGTTTGAGCTGGCAAGTATATTTCATAAGGAAAGAAGTAAAGGCACTCATGTTTCCAAACATAAAACTCAACCTACTCTAAGAGTCTTTGCGTTTCTGAAGGGAAACTAAGCCATCCTATTAGTTACCCAAATCTAGTTTCACCTCCTTTCCAGAGCTCAACTGTGCTTCTTGAGAACTACTTGACTTTTCAAAGCAAAGGAATTTAAAGTGGTACTGTACAGTTCCCATCACTTGAAAAAAGCAAAAGTATTGCATGAAAACTTCTCTCAGCAGAACTGTTTTATGCACAAAAGCCATGGGGTGTGGCCACTACAGTCACAAGAGGGAGCAAAAAGGACCATAGCAACTCAGAAAGTTAATCTAAGTTCATACATAGGAGCATCTCAACACTTGTGAGAAATCTTTGCAGTTAGCTATACAAGATAAATACATCTGATGTTGTACCCAATGCTCTCTCCAGAAGAGAGTCCGATGCTGTCTATTGGGTAGTTTTCTAAATAGCCAACGTAACATCCAAAAAAAAAAAAAGAATCTACTGATTTCTTCCTCAAAAGGTTTTCACATGCAGAGCCTGCAGTCTGAAAGTGCAGAAAAGTGTACAATCATTTAGCTTTCCAATCTGGAACAGACAGATAAAGCGAAAAAACCAACATGCGAAGTCACAGCAAAGTATTAGGAAAAGGGAAAAAGAGCAAAAACTAACTTTAGTAGCGTACTGGTCCATGATTTTGTCAATGAAAAGTGTTAAAATATGACTGATAGTATTTTTAAAAACTATTCTGCAGTCACCAATGGAATAAAATCCTGTTTAAAGTTCTACAATCCAATGGAACATCAAAAATAAACCTATCCAGTTATTTTTTAATGTATGCAACAGAAATAAAGGTCACCCTCCTCAAAGAAATATGAAAAGTCCAAACCAACAGACAAAAGTTGAAGCAGTGACAACTTGCATCCTACTGGGTAAGTTTAAGCATCTCTTTAGGCACTTCACTGGTTCATTAATGCAATACAAAATAAAGCTATAAATATCAACATTTTGTGCTCTTAGAAATTAGCCAAAAGCAACAGAAAACAGCACAAAAGTGTGACATTTTTGGCAGCTTATTTCTTCCCTTCCCCAATATCACTGGTTGTCCAAGAATGCTTTGTTTTGGGGATGCTTTGGCATCTCAGTATCAGGTTGTCTTAAGCCATAAAAGCTAAAACAAAACTGCTAGGCCTTAGACAATAAAGAAATTTGGTTTTAAAATTTCTTTATGGCTATATAAGAAGGACACTTCAGCAGTGGCATGACAGGGAAAAAAGCTTGCTTTCTTTTTAAATATTGCACTTTTCTTTTGTTCACTCACACTAATGCATAGAAACTTTTTAAACTTTGAATATTAAAAATTCATGCTATGGAAACGTTATGGGAAATAAATTTCTATACATCCAATATGAAAGAACAGATATGCTAGCCTTCCTTTACTTTCCTTAGTTAAAACATTGAGAAAGAAGAGAGTGCAAAAAAAACCCACAACCCTATTTTTTGGTCAGCCTGTGTATTAACTTTCTAGGTGCCAACTACACAAATGGCAACATGTGATGAGCATGGGTGTTGTCAGGACAACTGAGGGTGACTGTCGGTCAAACAAGATTATGTGTGATCAAAACACAGCAAGTGTGGCTGAAATGGCAAATCGTGAGGCCTCTTCTCTGGGGAAGGGGCCCGACAGAGCGGATGGATTTCGCACTTCAGTAGCATGCTGTAGGATTTATCGCGATTAATTTCACATTAAAGTGTGCTCGATGTTTGCATCCACATCTCGCATCACCTTCGACTGCTGTGGTAAGACAGCGACTGGCAAGCAGTCTCCAGGAGACACAGAAGAATCCAGTGGGCAATCCAACACAACGCAGCCCGCGCGTCTCAGTCACGACGTGGTGGTACATTCTCAGGACAGGCAGGACCGATCTTCTGCTGGACTTCCACTCATCTGAAAAATGATTGCTTGGAAAAAGAAGTCTCTAAGCACTTCACTCCGGTGCTTAAAGAACAAAGCGCTAGGATTGGATATAATAAAACCAGTTTCAGGACCCTGCCCGCTGCGCAGAAATCCAGCCGGAAACAATGCAGAGTAGTGCTCCTCAGTGTTACTTTTGTTATCATTAGTAATGTTAAGCATCAAGAAAATAAAACACGTCATTGCACATTACAGCCGTCGAGAAGCACGGCTAAACTTTGACACTAGAGAATTGAATAACCTGATGCTACATCACAAACAGCTTCTGGTGTGTATCTATTTCGAAAGGTCTTTACATACTCAGTAAAAGCTCCTTTACTCCTGCTCGGCGAACGCTTCAGGTTAAGTGACGAGTTATGGCACGAAGGGCATACAGGAGTTCGGCCTGCATTCGAGCTTCCATCAGAAGTAGATTGACATGAACCTGTTAAAAATTATATCAGCCGTTTAGTTCACCTCTGAGTGCAACATCCTTTACTCACTTAGGTTAACATTTCTAATCTTTCGTGAAGTATCGCTGCCAGAAACTATGTCCTTTCCCCCTGCTGCAGGACTCCAGTTCCCCTTGAGACAGCTCTGTCAATGCCAATACCAGACAACATCCTAGGACTGCAAGGACCCAGCCTCAGCTGCTGCTTTAAACAATCTTCCATCTGAGAAGACCCACTAAAACCATTTTTGTGTCCTAAATGGTGTTAGTTCTTTATAAATAATATTCTGTTTTATTCACTATCACCTGTGACTGCTTTATAGGAGCACAGAATAAGGAAGAGTTGATGTGCCAGGCAGGCCAGCAGGCACACAAGCACTGACCCCTTGTCAGGAAGCATTTAACTTGGGTATCTGAAGACATGTTGACATTTCTATTAATGAAACACACCATGAAGATTATATTTACATATATATATATATATGTATATGAGTTACGGTCTTTTTTGATTCCCGTAATCCCAAGTATTGGCATAGATGATCGCTTCTGCGTTTCCAAATTTATCCACTTATTACAGTTGTCTGTTCAATTTTATGGAGAAGTCACTCAAAATAATAATAATAAAAATAGGATCAGTATTTCCAGTACACAGAGAAGCATTTTTGTAAAACTGATACCTGACACTCAATCAATTTATCTCATTTGTTTTTCTCTTGTCAAAACCAGTTCATTTGGCAGATCCTGCCATTTTTAGGTGTTGCCATATTTTCAGTTTGAAGCAGCACAGGGTCTCTGTGAATCCATTTGGCTCTGAGATACGTACCTTCTCCGAGTGCTTGAACTGCCGCCAGTAGCTGTCGTACATGCGCTTGGTAGTTCTCTCTGGGTAGCAGGTCACTGTCTTTATGTAAACCTTCAGGCTGCGTTCAAGTAACTGATTAACTTCTCCATAATCATAGTCATCATACCTAAACAACACAGGTAACCGATCTGTTGGATACAGGTTTTTAAAAGCATAGTCTTTTGCAGCATTATGTTATTAAGTTTGGGAATTGGAGCATTTATTATACACACTAGAAAACCACCTGCCAATAGAAGATCTGAAAAGCTTAGTACTAGGATGTTGTCTTTTCTGAACTGGCTTCAGAGAAGACATTTTTTGTGACAGTTTCCATCCTGACTCATAATAATTTTCTCCACTGGAAGCAAAAGTTACACTGAGATGCCAGCAAAACCACTCTAACCTCCAGACTGAGGTATCATCTCCACTCCAACACCTGGAGTCTAAAATCATGCTTTTCATGTGGTTCATTTTTCATTCTGTTTCCACAGTTCAAAACACACTCCTAAGCCAGGGGATTTTCGTCCATACCTGATTCCATACATACAGTGGACATAGTTAAATAAAGCTCTTCTTAGCGTAGTTGTATCGACATCTTCATGTGTTGCCATAGTGTTATATGTGAGGTTATACACCATCCGAAACTTCTCATCAAGGAGATGCCCAATATCAGAATAAAGCCTGTTTACAAGGGAAAAGCCATGATTTTCCCAAGTATAGTCCTGCAGGAAGAGAAGGAAATACATAAATGTACAAATGAAGTGAAGTCTCTATCTGATCCCCTCTACAGCTCAATAGGATCTTCTTGTCTGCTAGTTATAGCTTTCTTCTCTTCAAAAAATTTGCATTTTGCATCCTTCATCCATATCACCAGCTCCACTGCCCCAGGCTCCCTGGCAACAACTCTCATGCCACAGCACCCCACCTCCAGCTGGCTGCCATTAGCCTACAAGGGAAAAAAACCCCAAGCTTCTCTTGAAGTACTGAGACAATTTTCCACTGTCTGCTGTGCCATTCTGACTGGTGTTATTCTATGTGGGATGTGGCTGTAAGTTTAAAAATTCGTTCCCCTTGGGAGCTTTGATGCTTCGCTCTGAGCAGAGATGGAGTATTTGCTTCCATCCAGGATCTACACTCATTGGATAAAGTGGTGAACTGTGCTTGAACAAATTAATAAAACCCAGGCTGCTTTGGTCATGGACAAGCACCTGGATTGCAAGGATAAAAGCTTGTCTGCTCGTACCAGGAATGGGAAGTCTTTGCTAGGAGTGTCATGGCAGTGGTAGTGGAGAACCACCCTGATTTGAGCAGCGTGCAACTGCTCTCCCTGCTGCAGTTACACAGATGTTAGTTTGCCTGCATGCTTGGCAATCAATCACTGATGCCATCTTTACAATCAAGAGCATCATCTCCACGTCCTTCTGGTGCCTGGCTGTTTTCAAAAGGTACTGCTGGGCAGGGGTCCTCACCCAGACACTTGAGAGCACGTCTCCTGGGCTGGCCCCCAGATCAGGACAGTGGGAGAGAGTATGCAGGATGACATTCAGGTGCCTAACAGAGGCATTCAGTGACTTCTGAAACACACCACAACATCACATTTGGCCTCCAGCTGCCAGTCCAAAAGACTGTAAAGCTTGTGAGAAATAAGGTGTATCTTCCAGCCCCATAAAGGTGTCCAGGACACCTGGGGAATCGCAAAAGCCTCTGGAAACCAGAGGCTCAGGGGGGACAGCGCTGCTTACTAACAGCAGGTAATCCATACTAACAATGAAAAAGAGAAAAAAATATTAAAGACATTCTGCTGTATATGGAATACCTTTTGCTGTTAATAAATTTAAACCCACAGAGATAAGGCAGTCTTGTTTTATCAGAATTAGGATTGGATTTATTGCGGGGTTTTGGGATGCTACTGTGATTTAAATAGCATTAACAGCAGAGAATTTGGGAGGCTGTGGGTATATACATCTAACTGCTTAAGAGTAGGACACACTAATAAAGTTAAATTATCAAGGTGACTCCTTTGAGTGTAGGCCAGAAGCTATAGAGTCTTTAAGAGTAGAGATGTTTTAGTTCCAATTTCAACTTCTGTAGAGCTTTTTTCCATGGGAGCCTGCTGCTCCTAAAGTAGTTAAACAGATTGTTTGATTTACAGGCACTGACTCTGCCTTATTCTTTTTGGCAACATCTACCTGCTTTAGGCTCATATAAAGACTGCAGAGTAAATTATCCAGATCAGCAGAGACTGCTATGGAGCTAAATACATTTCCTGAGAGTGATCATGGATTCTTTATTTTACAGCCTTAGATACATGTTCTGACCATGAAGTTTTCCTTCACCCACTGATTTTTTTAATTCAATGATTTGGTTTAAGATTTCTTCTATTACTTACAATTTATTACTAGACTGCTGATTAATCTACTCTTTAAGCCACAACAGAACCACTTAGAATGCCCCTTCTGTTATCTATCTATCTATCTATCTGTCTGTCTGTCTATCTATCTATCTATATCTCATGAAGAAGTTAATGAGTCTGGTCATGGAAAAAGATGCCAGTATGTAAGACAATGCACAGGTAAAATTAACATGCTGTTCTTTCAATAGCACTAAAACCATATATTCAAATATAGACAAAAAATTCAGTAATCGTGTTTAAGAACTCCTTTTCTTTCCTGACATTCAAAGTCCAGTGATTTGGTACATACATGAGAACAACACGCACCAAATCGCTCTCACAAACATATATACATCTATGTGTTGATAACCACTGGACAGACAAGACTTGATAAAATGACAGAAATAAAGAGTTCTTCCAGTGGATTTTTTTTTTACAATATCTGGAGGGAAGGAAAGGGAACCCTTTGTTTTCTACCTTTCACTTCTATTCCAGATTCAGCAAGATGTTTACAATTTTCAAACATTAATTCTGGTAATAACTGGAGTAAGACCCAAAGCTAAGTACTCCCTTGTCTGAGATTTACAAATAGTAAAAAATCAATCTCAGGTAGATTTATGGAAGCTTTTGAGTTAATTAATGGACCAGGACAAGAAAAAGAGCGTGCAACAAACATGCCCCACTACAATGGCTTTATGCTATTCGCCCTGTAATGAGATATATAAACATTCTTTGAGTGAATGTTTTTTGAAGAGATGGTACCTGAGCTCTGAATGTTGGCAGATGGTCTTCTCCTCGCCTTGCAAAGTCTTTGTACCCAAACCCAGGATCTTCAATATAGCGGGAGACATCTGTAGAAACTATTTCATCATCAAATGCTGTGAATAAAACACCAAAATGCTTTACTTCAGGCAAGCACAAGAGTTAGTGCCAACTTCCAACTACCACTCTTCTTCAGGACTAGAGACCAATTTCAGAAGTTGTGCAAAGGAAGAGGGCAGTAGGAAGGAAAGAAGCATTTCAATCCCAGCCTGCTTGTATGGGATCCATTCATTTCACTGAGCCAACTAAATGTCAGCCTACACCAGACATCTAGTATACTTGTACAAAATGGGAAGAGATGACCTAAACTTCTGCCTGGAGGTGTGCTTTTCTCTGTGTTGACATCTGAGAGCAGCTGGGTATCTTAAATGAGGAAGATGAATCCTGTTAGTAAAGTCATAGTGCTAGGCTAAGAAACAAAAAAGTACCCTTGAGAAGAGGACTGCTGTGCTGAGCAGGGACGGTGTCAGGAATTACACCAGCTCCATTCTGTAACCCAGAGTATGAACAACCAGAAAGCAATGCAACACTCCACTTGTCAACAGCAGTTGAAGATTATATGAAAGCAAAGAGCTCTACAGCACATCAGGCTGAAATTCTGCCAGAAGCTCTAGTAACTAAGCATCTTCAAAGAGCTCCAAAACGTGTCACTAAGCAAGCGCAGGTTCTCTATCAGGAATCAATCTTTCCCTCCCAAATAAACAGGTGGCTCGATTGTGTAACTACCTCTGCACAAGTTGACTACTGCACAGATGACTGCATTTGACCCTCATGTTAAAATCCTGGCTCGCTTCCACATGCGTTGACAGAGCAGTTGCCATATGTCCACTGTTAGCACCTTGAAAAGTCAGTTCATCTAAGAATTGCAGAAGTGCTTTATCTCCTCTTTGCCTCATTAAACAATCAAAACATAACTGCATAGGAAGAAGCTCACACAGCATCTGCTACAGCAAATCCTCAGCAAAGAATAAAAAGCCTGCACACACAGACTCCTCGCCCCCGACAAGGACTGAATTTCATGAAAGGGTAAAGGCCCAATGCATACAGACTCCTCAACTTAAACCAGCACACAGCAAAGAGGGAGGGAAAGTCAACAAAAATATCAGCAACCACATCAAAAAACCCCTTCTGTCCCAAACAACACCTCTTCCTTCCACGCCTTCAGTTGCAGAGACTCATTGAAGTCTTAGTTTGATAGTGAACCTGCAACGGGTGTCAGTTTATTTGCAGTGTTGATGGTGTCTTACCAAAGAAAAATAGAGCAAGAATGGACAATGTCTATTTCTTAAAATCCAGCCATGATGTTGCTGGATGTATCTTCTTTCAGAGATTTTGCATGTTCCTAGAGAGCCACAAAACAAAGTCTCTGCTGATCTACAATACATTTTTCCTCACTTTTTGGCTCTGTGCACAAGAACTTGGATACCTTCAAACACATTTGGTCTGAAGCTACCGAGATCTAAATTCAAAAAGAATAGTGTTAGTAAATTGTGAAGCATTTTATGGGTCACTTCTTTAAAAAGACACAAGCTATCATCTTCAAGTAGCCTTCACAATGAGGAAATGGTTCAAGATTCTGATTGTCTTAATATTATTCCTTCTTTGAACACTTTCTTTGGAAAAAAGCCCACCTTCCTGTCTGTAGGAAACAGATTTCTTTGTATGGTTTGTTAGAGATGGAGACCCCCAGAGCACATGAAGAATACTGGAAAAGAAGCTTTCAGCTCAGAATTTTGAACACCATTTAAGAATCTCTATCATAGCACAGGAAGTGGAACAGCACAGCTGCATGATCACTCAGAACAGCAAGTTAGAAACATCCTTGCCAGATGGACAGTAAATGGCAAAGAAGTTGAGTATCATCCTAATCTATTTCCCAAACTAAGTGTCGCATCTGAAGACTACTTATGAGTGTCATTGAAGTTCTGAGCACTGCAGAACCTAAACCAGTGAAATATTATTGAATATTTACATGAACGAATTAATTTGAAGATATAGAGCATATAAAGAACAAGACATTTACACCCAGCTTTTTGAAGAAAACTACAGACATTATTTTTATTTTTTTTCTTTTTAAATACAGAACAGCTAAATTTCAAGTAGCAAAAAGGATGGTGTTATTTGCCAATTAGGAAATCTTAAGCAGATGAAGCAAGTGACAGGACCACCCTTACTACACTCCTCCTAGACCAAGAACCAGAATAAAGAAAAAGTCGTAGTCACTGAAGTGGCCTCAAGTGTTTAGCTCTTACAAAGCACAAACAAAAGGGAACTGGAAAAGCACAAATACCTCCACTAATTACTAGCAGACTCTCCTTCTTCTCCTTTTCAAAGCGAGTTGCCATTTCTTCCTGAGAGGCTTCCTCATCCTCTTTATCTTCTTGTAGCCTCTTCATCCTTTCCATTAAGGCCTCCAGCTCACTTAAAGAATCTGCAATCTGCAAAAACACCATGACATTCTGCAAAATTAGAAGATAGACAACATGTGTCATCTTCAGATTTCATGCTCGACAACATACGTTCTCAAAAGCAGACAGCAGCAGCAAACACAGAAGCTCAAGCCAGAAGACGTTTGTCACATAGAGCGTAGACAAACAGCTTTCAGACAGTGAGAAGAAAGGGAGCTGGGAGTTGTGAATCTCAACTATGGCAGTAATCTACTGCAGAGGGATTAAAAGCCAAAGAGGTGGTGGACAAACATGGAAACCATAGTTGCTTATATTCCACCCTGTAGATGGCTCAGGAAAAGCCACCCGTGTGCCCTATGTGTATCAAAAAACATCTTTTAATATTAAAGTGATTTTTTTCAGTCTATTGGTAATGCAAAATATGTTTCTGAAGAGATACAGTGCAACACTGCAATACAGGAACACAACCTGAGACAACACATCAGGTAGTTTTTTTCATTACATGTGATCAAAATAACCATTACGTTGACCCTTTGCCTTGCCTTTGTGAGGAAAACAGGCCTCTCTATTAGAAATACATCAAAGTTTGGGATTCTGTGATCCGTACTTATCACTCAGATTTTTCATCAGATAAATTGTTTGTATTTTCTTTTCCATCTTTGCTGTTATTCTGCCCATAGCTGACATTGTTTTCTGGTTTGCTACTCGCTGCTGAAGAAGCAGCACGGAGTCAGCAGCAGCCCCTTGCCCACTACAAATGGGGAATAAGACAGCCCAGTGATTTGAACCACGTCTTATAGCCCAGAAATTTAAGATACAGTGATTAAACTGACTGATCACATGTTCACATTGTAATGCTAATTTTTAAAGATGTACCTAGTGACTCTGCTCATAATCCTGATCTTCCATCAAAGACGATGAGGCTAATTCATCAATCAGCATCAATTCAAGGACATGTCTTCAAAGTATTATAGAGCCACTTTCATAAAAAAAATTTCCACATTTAAATTAATTAACCTGTAATCAAAGTTCTCTGCTGGTTGATTCAAGACTGGAACACCAGCACTAAGAATTCAGTAATTCTATTTCAGACATTTCCTCCCACCTACAGGGAAGTGTTTCAAACTTGTTCCGCTTTGTGATTGTAAGCCTTGAAGTCCAAATTATTACAATTATTCTGACTTCTGGGGGTTTTTTCCCCATTTTGTTTTTTCATTCCACGTATCAGGCACATGGATGACACAATACTGCAGTCAGCGACACTTTATCTGAAGAAACTGGGACTTTAAGCTTTCAGCTGAAAGTGAAGTTTTAGTCTTGCCCAATGGGCTGAGAGATTAAGGATGAGAATCCCATTCCTCTGACTGCCATCCACCGTTACAATGTGGGTTTCAATAGATTACACTGAAAACTGCTAGAGCAAACATAAGAGCTGCCAGACTCAAGCATTCCAGTAAAGGAGACAAAAACTTTCAAACTACCCTGAAATTTAAACAGGAAAGAATGGAAGAAAGTGTTCTAATGCAAAACAGAGGCAAGCAAAAGAATCTTCTTGCAACACTAACCCCAAAGTTGCTACTTGTGAGGGATGCATTTTCTATGTTGTTGTCATTGGCAAGATCACAGACACAGAAGTTGTTGACTGCTATAAGTCTGACTCCATTAGATGTATCCGGATCTCTCTCTGGATTAATGCCACTACCAAACACAAAACTTGCCAAGGCATGATAATGTGCCAACAGGACAACAGCATGCACCAGTTCAGGAAGAGACCAATTATTTTCCCCAGTCTTGACAAGTTTCTGAAATGAGAATAAAAAAAAGTGTAAATATAAAATTTCTTTTGGCCCTCAGGTTTTCTATAAAACACTATGGATTTTAAAAAGTGATCAATTCCTTTGCTTCCAATAATACCATATAGCTCTTGTGCGCAAACTCTCACTGGATAAAAAAAAAGAGACACCAAATATATTACCTCGTTTCTTTTGGGGTTGCTTTAGCCAGTGCTATTCCTAAAAAGTAAATCTTGTTGGCTTTGTCACAGGGACACATTTATTGGCTTATTCGATGCTCTAGTACTTCCTTGAATTTTTTAACTGAAGGTAATGAAGCCTAACCAGACACTTGTGTAGTTCTTAGCAGTTCTTATTACTGGATGTTTAGTGCTATTACAGGACACGACTTAACAGGTACCTGAATGTGCTCTTTTGTGATTAGCCAGGGCCGGTGTGCAAGGAGTTTGTTTATTTCGTTCAGATTTTTCAGTCTTTGGGGAATGTATTCTAAACCGTTCAGCCACTCTGCGATCCCGCCAGTCTTCAAAAACTCATCAACGTGCATATTTATTAGGTAGGAACACTGATGTCTGGCAGCAGCCTGGAATAATTAAACACAGAGGGAAAAGGGCAGTGCATTACTATGGAATTGGATTTTGCTGCAGGTGGAAGACAGGTTACTAACACAAAACAAAAATACATTTTCATTCCAAAGGGTCACGTTTTATATTGCAATGCATTTCTATACAGGGTGGAGAATTCTCCAATGTAAGTACCTCTGATTACTTTACTCTGAATCGCAGAATCTAATTTGGGTTGGAAGAGATTTCTTAGAGCAGATCTGGCCCAGCCCCCTGCTTACAGTAGAGCTGATTTAGTTCAGGTTGCTCGGAGCCTTGGCCAGACAAGATCTCCATCTCTGGAGATCACACCACCTCTCTTGGCCCCTGTTGCAATGTCTCAACATCCTCATGGTAAAAATTGTTGTCCTAGTGTCCATGTGGAATTTGTTGTGACTCGACTCCACTGCATCTCATCCTACTGCTGCCTACAGATGGTTAAATATTCATAAATGAGGTTAAACAGTTTTAACTGCTCTCTGCAACACCTCACTCTCGTGGGCATGTGAGAACTGTATTGCTGTGGGAAACAGGGAAACGTGTACGTTGCCAATTCTCCCTTATCACTGAAAACTTTTGGCTATGCATGCTTCATTCTGATGAAAATCGACTACAAAAATTCACCTCTGTCAAAACATCACACTAGTCTCTCCTTTCTAAAGTCTTCCTTCTTTCTTCTTTTTTAAATACACAAGTCTAGGTCGCAGGAGAAAATATACAGGCTGTTGGTACATACCATTATAGCAATGTAGTGCCTATAGGGCAAGGGAAGGGGCCCATCCATGCGTAGCATATAGAACTGGCTGCGGAGGAAAGACTCCAGGTACTGAGTGTGGATACTCATGACCTGCGTGATGTTGTCCAGGCGACCAGACGTCGAGTATTCTTCCACAAGAAGATTAGTACGTTCATCCAAACCATTTGCTTGCATAACCTTAAAAACAAGATGGACAAACTAAGCGAGGAACAAGATTTTCTCTAGCTTTAGCCCTAGAGAGAAACATACTGCAGTATGAAAGGTTTGCTTGTGTACAAACTTAAAGGAGATCCGGATGTATATTTGTAAATATACTTGCCAGCGTGCGTGTGAATCACACCTACAGATGTTGCTTATATACTGAGAACTGAAGAGCACTTTACACTGTACCTCTGTTATTTTAATGTGTTCCTATGAAAACCAAAAACATTTTTTCTGTAGATCTTTCCAAAATGGCTAAACTCACAGATTCTTAAAGTCAAAGCTGTAGAGAGAGCTGGAAGTAAGCAAGAGCTAAATGGAAAGTGAAGTCTTTATGGAAGCCTGCCTGTATAGACACACACCACCCGAGCATCCAGCCCTAAAACAAATTTCAAAATTAATAGAGAGGAACTGGGTTATGTAACCAAATTATAGAAACAGCCTGGCAATCCACCCCTTCTGTGCCTGTATAATTGAAGAGGAGATCAAATGCTAATTTGTCCATAACATTCAAGTATTATTTAGAATAGGAATTTAATGCTTTCTTTAAACAAAAGCTGTTCTTTAATTATTCCAACCAATCCAAACCTTGGGCACAAGATGAAATGAAACAGCAAAAGAGTAAGTAGCTCTTGCACTGCAAGCCCTGACACAGTATTAGTGCTATTACTCAGTGTTTATCACCAAGAACAGCCATTCTCAGCATGTTCACCACTGAAGGTACAAGCACAAAACTGGGAAACCTAGTATTTAGTCTGAAATGGCACAGTATTACACCAGCCAGTTCACTATTACAAACACCATGAAATGAGAAAATATTTTAGCTGGTTTACTGCACATCAAGACAGAAAGTGCCTAATACCAAGAAGACACTGCTTTTGCTGAAATACTCCATTTAAAATACATTTTCGTTCTTTATGATGGGTTGATGGATGAATCATGTCTCAAATATTTTTCCATCAAATCTCATATAGAAGTCATACAAAAAACCCACGAATAACACACTATGTTTTCACTTTACTAACCTGTTTTAATTTGTCGCCCCAGAAAGAAAAGGAAGCAGCAGCTACGCACTCAGGCAGCTTTTTTACATGTTTAGCTCTTCACTATGGCAGCTTTTCTGTGTTTTGTACCCAAAATGATGCGTCCTCAGCTTTCCTTAAAATATTTTTACCATCGGAAGTCGATTCATACACTAGAGATCATTTTATTTCATTTATTACTGCATATTCCTCGCTCCACTGCAAGGAGTCCCCCTTGTTCTTCAGCAAGAAGTATCCCCCATGTATTTAAGAGATCTTTTGTCTCATTTAGTAGTTTCTTGGGGAAATCACACATTTCGTGTCTTTGGGAAGGTTTCTAATCTTCTCCAGTGTGTCAGGAGTTTTCTTTGTAACAGTACAAGTTATGGTGAAGAAATTCTGCTGACAAAATTGAAATATAATCCTTTAGGACTGCACTGTTGCTATGTAAGGCACAGCAATATGCCGCATTATTGCTTCTGAGATTTATCTCCACCTATATTACTATCCTCTTCATACTGTCTACGTACTTCCTCCTGATTTATTACCATCCATGGATCCACAAACATGGTTTTTTATTCTGCTTGTAAAGCCTTACCGCACTTTAAATGGAACCATTACAATTAAGTTGCTGCTGCTCCGTCCATATTCCTTCCATTACGACAATGAAGCAGCCTTTGACACGAGCAGTGTTATTATGAAGATTTGTGAGACATTTGGTGCGTCACTGATCTTTAACTTCATTCTTCCTATCCATTGTATTATTTCATGCCAAGGCACAAGGGAAAAAGGTAGTCATTTGCTTAAAAAACAATAACAGACAATATGTAACATTTGTTCATGAGACTGAATAGCTGTTTTATCCACACAGATGGAGGTTCCCTGTTTGTACTGGGTAACCTCTGGGGTTACTCCTTTCTGAGAGCTACTCAGTGACTCCTCCTGCACCCTTGGCTACCACCTTTACCAAGTGTATCAGCTGTGAAATAAATTCATTAACAACTGTCTCAAAACATGTTACCATTTTAACTACATATATTTTTCTACTTTTTATGCAATTATTGACTTATGAGAGAAATTACATCTTTACGACGTTTGGCATCTCAATTTCATCTTGTATTTCATATGAAAGGGAAGTCCTCTTCACAAGTTTGGCTGGCTGGAACTCACTCTGCTCCCTTCTTCCCAAGTCTAAAAGATCCTTTTCACCCTCTCTTCCTTTTTGCTTCATTATGTTTTCTGGTTGCCACCCTCTAAACTCTATTTGTTTTTAAATTCAAACCTTGCCAGTGTATAAATGGAGAGAGAGACTCAAAGAGCAGCAGCTATCTTGTCTTTCAAAATGTCTTTTTGGCCTTTCTAACATGTGAATTATCTGCCTTTAGCAACTACTTAAAACAAAACCAAAAAAAGTTTTATAGTCAGCCATCCCAAATAATTAACTGATTAATAAATACTGCTCTGTAAAGACTGAGATCACAGGAGAACACCATAGCAAAGTTTCTACTTACTGCAGCAAGCTGCAAATCAAGGCTTAAGTTGAACGTTAAATCATGGGCTGAAATCTTGAGTTTGAAGCCAAACTGTACCTTTCAACCATAAATTCTCTCAAGAGCCACAGTTATGGTCTAAGGAGTGAGTCATATTTTCAGGTTCTCTCAAACTGAAGGTCAGACACTGCTCTGAGAGCTATATAACCACGCTGCTGCAGTACTGGATAGGCCTCCCCTTAGGCCTGGCATTAAGAGTAGTAAGTGATCATCACCCAGGAGAAGAGCAGAGCAGCACTCACAGCTGTCTCCGGGAGTGCTGGTGACCGAAAAGATGTCAAATGGCATCGCTTGTGTGAAAGGGCAGGGTGGTTCTTACCCACTGCTCCAGAGAAACCATCGCTTTTGCTCTCAAAGGAGCTCATCTGGGCACCACGGGACAAGCAGGATCATAAAACTGTCCTTCAGTATCTTCACTCTAAAAGCTACCACCCGCCCGACGCAGCTAACCACAAACTTACTTCGTTCTCTGGTATAAAGGCACTTGGTCCTCTTGTCAATGGTGGGGAGACCTGTACTCTTTTCTCCTGCAAAACAGTCACATAATTCAGTCAGCATCAGGAATATCATATTAACTTACTTTATCTTGCAAGACGAGATCTCCAAGGCCTGGATTTGGTTCTCTTCCCAAGGCCACTGACAGCCCACTGAGGAGGTGAAGCCACCACACCACGTTGGTTAGATCAGCTTTGCATCCCCTGCACTTTTGCATGAATGAATGGCACCAATTTTGGCAAGGGGTAAGACAGAACAAAACCAAAAAATCTAATCCCAGTTGGTTTACAGACCAGCTTGAAGATACAAAGAAAACAGCAATAAAACATTTGGCGCAATGCTAAAATTAGCCATTTACTGGATTGAATGGAATCCAGAAAGTGGAAAGGAAAAAAAGCCACATTTGGGAAACTGCAAGCAAGATGCTGTTTTCTTCAGTATCAGCATCTAATGAGATCTTCAGTATTGAGAAGCACTTCGTGTGCCAAATATTGGTGAGGAAAGCACAGTCCATGCAAACCAGCAAGACCCAATTAAAGACTTGTTCTGGAAACCCAACGGAAGGGCCACTGTGCTCAGCTGCTGAGCATGGAGGAGACCACCACACACAGTACAAGCCTTGGTGCCCAAACCCCAGCCAGAAGTCATGAAACACCCATTGAGGATGATATATGTAGTACAGAACAGGCTGATAGCACAGCAAGAGTCTCAGGACTTTATATTAGGATAAGCAATTGAACTAAGATAAACTGTAGAAGGTTTCACAGCGTGGCCGCTGACAGCCAGAGAGGTGAAGGGACCTTAGGGGGGTTGCCTGCTCCTCTGCTTCACCAAGGGGCAGGACTTGCACTGCTCACATCATTCCTGACCAAAGTTGGTCCAACCTGCTCTCATTGCACTGCTCACATCATTCCTGACCAACGATGGTCCATCCTCCTCTCAAAGGCCCTCCCAGAGCTTCCTCCCTCTCTCCAGGTCATTTAGTTTCTCAGATCTTTGGAATGTTTTCCTAATGTCTAACCTGAAGTTCCCTCACAGTAAAGCCATTGCTTCTTGTCTTTTCCTCTTTTCCTCTTTTCGGTTAGATTCCACTTATCTGGAAACGATGGCTGCACACTTATCCATCAACAGGGGTATTGGATTTGCATACTAAATATTTCATGCCCTTAACATAAAAGTTCAAGGTTTTCCATAACAAATGACCCTCAAATACCTCTACCAGGGGGGGCTTAAGCTTAACCCCCATGTGCACACACAGCAGCGCGCGTCCCAGAAGGCGCGTGCCACCAATTTCCACACAGGAAAATGAAGCCACTGGAGCTGCGTAACTATTGTCCTGCTCCTTAAAAACATCCTGTCCTTTCTAAATTAGATTATGAAAAAACATGCAAAAATCAGCAGCGATTATTCAGGAAAGATGTTCCAAAGCAAACTCTCGCATGACAATTAGATTAGTGACTTTAGAATAATTAGCTGCTAAAAGATGCAGAAAGAAGCTGGATCTACTGTGTGAAGCCCAGCCAACTTGCTGCAACCACTGCCTGCTATCACAGCCCCAAAATCCTGTAAAATAAATTTTTATGAATCAAATGTAGTCAGTCTAAAGTAAGAAGAAACGTGTAGAGAGACTGGGTATCAGCACATGCAGCCCCTTCCACGCACAGCTACACAAGGCACAGGAAGACATCTTCTAGCTTTAAATACACAACCTTGCCAGCAGCCAGTCATTTCTGCCAACGTTAAAAAAAGAAATGCTTTCCAAGATTGCTATTAAGGTTGCATTTTGCGTGTTTTATGAATGTTATCTGAATGTTAAGTTTAAAACCTTCGTTTCATACTGAATAATCTGGAGGAAGCAGCTTCTGCCGAGTGGGACAACTTGGGTTGCTGCAAACTGTCAGCTCTGCTTGGAGCACAGATCTGAATATTAAGTTTAAAACCTTCGTTTCATACTGAATAATCTGGAGGAAGCAGCTTCTGCCGAGTGGGACAACTTGGGTTGCTGCAAACTGTCAGCTCTGCTTGGAGCACAGATCTGAATATTAAGTTTAAAACCTTCGTTTCATACTGAATAATCTGGGGGAAGCAGCTTCTTGGATTGCTGCAAACTGTCAGCGCTGCCTGGAGCACAGGTCTGAACTGGAGCTGAACCACTGCCTTCTCCATCTTGGTCTCTGACCTACACCCTGCTTCTGCAGGCTCTCAGAGCTGCTCCTCGAGGCCAGACCAGGGCAAAAAAATGCTTATGCTTCTTCTACTGGGATCTGGGCTCCGTTCCCCTGTTTCCCCATTCAATGTGACTGCTGGTGCTCCTTTGACCCTGCAGATAAGCTACTCCTGAGAAGGAAAGGAGGAAAGGGTACTTGGGTGCATGAACGAAGGCAAGTATCTCCGATCTGTCGTCCTGTGAACGGCGACAGAAAGCCAAGGAGATAGTCAGACACAGAAAACAAGGTATGTTAAATATACTACAAAAGAAAAAAAGGACAAAAGCCTGCTCCTTTCGGGTGGTGGTAGTTCCAAAAAACACAAGCCTGGAAAAAAGAGACAACCAACCAAAGCGAGAACAAAAAACCAAAAGTCCAGACATGATAATTCAAGTTGGTAACTCTAATCATGGCAGGCTTTCAGGCAGCTGCGTTTTTTTCTATATTTGAAGTGTATACTCTTTCCTTCCATCAACACGGAAGATTACTTTGCCTTCATGTCAAGGCTTTTACTCTATTAAAACTGGTTAAAACAAGATTGTCAGAAGAAAAGGAGCAAACATCATCTGGTTGCACAAGTTCTCAGGATGCTATTAAAAACATGGGAAGTTTACAAGCATTAAGAAAGATAACATTAGCTTTGTCAAACTGTAGATAAGAACCACTGCTTCTGGGCACGCTTTATCTAAAGCAGTGATTTAAGGTCTACCCAACAACCCAAATATGAAAAAGTACGTATGGGTCTTACAAAGCAACATTGCAGATATATGGTCCTTTTTGGTGAAAGTTCTTCCAAAGCTTCTCGTTTCCCAAGAAGGCAGGTTCATTTTCCTGTCCAACTCATCTTTGCAGATTACATTTGCTATCACTAACTCAGCTGGGGTCCCTAATATCTTATTTGAAACTGGATTCTTATGCTAAGTGGCTGAAGCAAGAAACAGGTTGCCCAGCAACCAAAATGCCATACGCACGTGTATCAGCCATTTTCTGCTTCACGTTCCTCCAGAAACACATCGCCAGGGTAGGAATAAGTTATCATAAAAGGTTTGGAACCAATTCCACTTAAAACCAGGGCTTTTTTTGGGGGTGCTTCTTCAGAAGGACAGATCATCATAAAAGGTTTGGAACCAATTCCACTTACATTAAAACCAGGGCTTTTTTGGGGGGGGCTTCTTCAGAAGGACAGAGATGATGAAGAGATTAAAAGATAAGCAGATAAAACTGAGCCTGGGCAGGTTACTGGGAGAGGGACCACTGCAAGCCAGAGCCTGGAAGTAAGTTTTGCAGGAGCACATCATGGTGTTGGACAGCAGGAGACCTCTGCAGACCACAGGAGAGCTGCTGCAGGAATCCATTTAAAAAAGAGGCCCGAGCAAGCTTTATCTGTGACTTGTTTTCTCTCCTCAGGCTGCATTTGGAATGGTGTCAGGAGCTAAATATCAGGAATTCTAATAGTGATGAAATGGAACCATTTCGCATTTGCACATCTGTAACTGTCGTGGTTTGGGCCAGAAACACCTTCACCCTTGGGCGAGCTCTGCCCAAACTCCCCAGAGCCAAAACCCCTGAGACTTGCCGTCTCACAGGTTTATTTTTAGTTGTGGCAGTGACCGTGCACCTTCCCTCCAAAGCCAAGGGGCCGCGGGCACTGGGACATGGCAGAGGAAGGCATGCCAGGGCCACCCGCCTACCAACGTGGCTGTGAAACCCAAGTGAGAACAAGCACCAACCCGGCTGGTGCCCAGGCAGCAGGGTGGCTTCTCTCCCAAAGCCTAAAGCAAAAGCAACAACCCTTCTTCCTCTTTGCTATCACATGAGTCACCGTGTCCTCGGGCTTTAAAGAAACGACTATTTTTAGCAAGCTGTAAAAGGAGGCTGTTTTATTTGAGAACGGAGCCGCTAGCTGGCGGGGCAGATCAAGCAGCTGGTTTGGGGAGTCCTTCTGAATGCCCAGGGATGCAGAAAACGCAGCCGAGAAGCAAGCGGCCACATCAGCGCGGGTGTATGGGGGCTTCTCACACATGTGGAGCCTAAAAGTTAATTTATCCTGAACTCAACATCAAGGTGCTCATGCTGCGGCTGGGAAAAAAAAAAAAAATCACCAGGAAGAAACATTTTGCAGCTCAAGGGGGAATTTTGCAAGTCACGGCGACGCTGCCACTCGAGTCCCTGTGAACTCCTAGAGCAGACCCAGCGGCTGGGAAACACCCACGACGGGGCTCAGAGCCTCCACTCTGACAAAAACTGCCACCGCTGTAAAGACATCAGGAAAATAAACAGCACTAGATCAAATATAAATCCTAAGGGCATCCCAAAATTAGCTTTTCCTGAGGAACAAACTCTTTTTCCTGAACAAGCAAGAATTTTTTGGGGGGGGAAGGTAATCCGCATGTATTTCTTACTACACCTTTTCTTATATTATAATCTAAAAGTAATTTCACTACCATCTAGCATTTCTGATGATCTTTGTTATTAAATTCAGTGGTCTATCAACAATGAGCCAAACCCATTGTTGGGACACCTACATGGAGACGTCTCCTTTTGTAGGAGGTGTCTTAAATCCTTCTCCAGCAGAAAGTGAGAGCCAGGTGCAGCATCATTAACAACAGGAGCTGAGCACCATTCAAGACTCCCTGGAGTCTCCTGCTTGGCATCCAACCACCACCCCAGAAGGGAATGGGCTTCCCATAGGTAGGTATGGTGGCAGCTAGTCCCTGTGGATGCCCTGGATACCCTTATGGTACTTAATGGTACTAAATGGTACTTAATGCATGTGCTGGGCACTGTGGCTCTGGTCACAGCACCTGGACTGTGGTCTGGGT